TGTGACGGTGTGATGTCACTGGCGTCTCTCGTCAAGCATGTGTTTGCGACACTGATGGAAGTAGGCCGTTTCGTGTTGACAGTTTGGTTGTTGTTTATTCACTTAAGGCAATATATGCTACTTAAGAATATGGACACTGGGATATATATATATATATATATATATATATATATATATATATAATATATATATATATATATATATATACATATATATATGACATACATACATATACATACACATACACACATACATACATACATACATACATACATACATACATACATACATACATACATACATACATACATACATACACATACATACACACACACACACACACACACACAACACACACACACACACACACACACACACACACACACACACACACACACACACACACACACACACACACACACACACACACACACACACACACACACACACACACACACACACACACGCACGCACGCACGCACGCACGCACACACACACACACACACATATATATTTGAAAATATAAATAAACAATCTGCTTTTGACAATATTCTGTAATACATTTATATCGTTTTGCTTTCCTTTATGTAACATCAAAATCAATTACCTATATTTGAAAATAGCATATTGATTTATATATAAATATATAATGGCAAAAGCGGCCAACCTGAAGCTTTTGATTTCTATATACTAAGAGTACGGCCATTTGTGGAAATCTGTCGCGCGTTGGGGAATATGATTTACAGTGAATTTGGATGTATATGTAGCCTATGTGTATGTGTGTGTTTGTTTAAGGACAGTTGATTGATGATCTATTGCAAGTTTCCTGTTCCCCCATTACTGACCCGCTGCCTCCTCCCGCAGGTGTGATGCGCCCCCGGAAGGCGTGATGGCGGGCAGGGTGGGTCCAGAGCTCACCATCTACTCGGCGCGCTACGCCACTCCCCCCACCAAGCCCCGGCCGGCCCACCCGATCCCCACGCAGCATGTCCACGACCACCTCGGCCACGTCAGGAACCCCAGCGGCTCCTTCGCCGCCCCGTCGGGAGGACCGCTCATGGGCATGGCGAGCGGACCGTTCTCGGGCCCGCTGTCGCTGCCGCAGGGCTCTGGCTACCTGCGGGCGGGGCCGCGGCGGCACCACCACCACCACCATACATTCCGCCCTACCCGCCCTTGCCGCCGCCCCCGCCGCGCCGCCTGCACCACCACCCCCACGGGCACCAGTCCTTGCCGTACATGAGCTTCCGGGAACCGCCGCCTCCGCCGCCGCCCACGGGGCGCTGGGACGAGGACCCGTGCTTCCTGCGGCCGCACTCGCCGGAGACGCCGTGCCCGCACAGCCACCGCGCGGAGCACACGCCGCAGGAGGACGGCACCTGCTTCGTGGTCATGGGCTCGCAGAAGCCCCTGGAGATCATGGAGCCCTTCTCGGCCAAGAACCCGCTGCACGTGCCGCACCTGCAGCAGGAGGAGGAGGGCGTGTACTCCTACGCCGGCGAAGGGATCCTGAGCCCGGCCGACGTGATCCGCGCCCAGGCGGCCATGGAGGACTCCGACAGCTACGGCGGGTCCCTGGCGTCCGAAAACATCTACGAGGAGATTCCCGAGAACTGGAGCGGCGCCTGGTCGCGGCGCTCGCTGGTGGAGGAGGTGCTGGACGAGTACGAGCGGGTGCGCGCGGGGCACCGCCGCGTGCTCTCCGCCCTCAACCTGGACGTGGAGACGCTGATCCGGCCCGAGGGGCACGACGGCACGGCCTCGCCCGACTCGGGCCTCACCGTGTCCGCGTCCGACTCGTCGTGCGAGCCGCACGCCGGCTGCGACCCCTCGCGCCCGCGGACGCCCACCAACCACGACGACCCCGCCACCTCGTGGCGGTCGCAGAAGAAGTCCTCGCCCAAGCAGAACGCCGAGAGGCAGCTGCCCAAAGGGCGGGGGCGGCTGGTGAAGTGCGAGTCCCTGGACTTGAAGGATGCCATGACGCGCCGCCCGTCGGGAGGTCGCGGGCGCGGCTTCAAGGAGAAGCTCGGCGGAGTCAAGGAAAAGATGGAGAAGAAGGGATGGCGCTTCCCCAACTTCTCAAGGAAAGGTAAGTCCTCGTGTGTTTGTTTTGATATTTTATACTCGCTCCTTATACGTCTGCCATCGCTACTGTTGTCATTATTAGTAATATTTTTACATATTACCTAATACGTCCACTTATACCACCCACTGAGCCGCTTTCTACCGCGACTCTGGGTGATCGGTAATTCATAGTCTATTCCCCAGAGGGAGGTAATTTCAAGGCTTGTTAGTTCCTATCAAGCATCGAAGAGCAGACTGAAGAGAGAAAGAAAGGCAACACCCAACTTACGCAAATTCTTTTTTCCTTTTGTAGTCTATATAAAAACAATAGGGCCTCTTCCTCGTGAAATATCGTGTTTTAGATTTTTTTCATAGTTCCTCATTGTTTGTGGGCTACAGGTAATGTTAATTCCCAATTTCATGGAATATGAAGCTCGGAGATTCATTTGTCAAGAATGCCCTCCGTCTACATGTCCAGATCCTTCGAGCACTTCGGCAGACTCTTGCCGTGAGATGACTTAGTGGTTTCATTTTTTTTTCATTTCTTCGGTCAATCTTTTACCTTGAAATCACAAGAGAATGGGTCCTTTAATGTCATGATGTATTTCTTAACAGCTTTTACATGTCATTTGATCATGAGTACAAACAAAGCCTCTATTTTTACACTATTTCAATGCATGGCCATCTTCAAAGGAAGAGAAGGAAGTGCCACATGAAAACTCCCTTGGTAAACCCTCCAGTAACCAGTCATACCGTAGGGTTTTCACACCAGTGCATTCTCGTTTGATAAGTTCGTAGCCCCTGGTTTTAATAAGCTAAATTCTCTGCCATCTGCCGTAATTCACGTGAAAGCTGAAGCGTAATTGACGTTAATTGTTTTTGTTTCACGTGGCCCTCTTTTGGCAGTGTTGACTACTGCTATTGTTACCTTTTGTGTACAAATGACCTCCAACCCTCCTTGTGTAGCCATACGCACCCTAGAACATGCATACCGCATTAGACTACCAATACCATTGCTACTTCTGACACTACTTCTACTACAACCTTTTTTATGGAATTGAATGGCGCAATAGCTATGCCTACGCCTTCAATTATGACATATCCTGGAAATTGCACATCGCACTGAACTTCGCATTACATTTATTCATTCGGTGGCACTCTTATGGAACTCTACTAATGCTGCTGGTACTACTACTACTACTACTACCACCACTACTACTGATACTACTACTACTACTACTACTACTACTAATAATAATAATAATAGTACTCATGCTACTTTAACTACTTCTACAAAGGAATCCCAAGAAAAGAGAAATATTACTCTTCGTAAACCCAAATCGCAGGAGTAGCCACTATATCATCAAAGGGCATAACAAAGCCGTCAAGCACGGTATTGTCTGAATAAATCACCAACGCTGGAGAACGCACTCTCGCCGGCCGGAGCGTAATGCGCAGGTGGTGCGCTGTGATGACGCATAAACAGGGTGTAAGCGGGATAGGGGCGACGAGCTGGCGCCACCAAACCGCCCATTAATGGCTTCAACATCTGCTCTGTTCCCTATAGACTCATCTCGCATTGGATGTACATTGTAGCTCATCATTTCCCCCCTTCGCTTTGTCGTGTTCTTTCCATGCATACGGGGATAAAGAATGTATTCTTTGTTAATTCATGATTTACTGAGGTATAGTAGATCCTCATTGTAAATCGTCCTTTTCCCCACTTGGCTTTGTCGTGTTCTTTCCATTTACGGATATAAGGAATGTTTCGTATTCGTTGTTATTCCGGTTTGATTAGTTAATTGAGGATTTGCTTAGCTGTAGTGAGGGTCCGCAGTTAGCAGTGGCTCTAAGATCCGGGGTCAGTATTTCGACATAATAGAGAGGCACGAGTGACTAAGGTCTACCCATCATGAAGCAGTGCCAAGCGGTGTCAGCGGTTGTTGCAATCATTTAGACTAGACACGAGGAAGTAAGCATATCTTCACATCCCTTATTTGGCAATCAGCAATTGATACCACAGGCTACGTACGTTTTTGTTTGATGTTTACATTGTATTTTTATTTATTTATTTATTACATAACTGATCTAACAAAACCCACCGAGATCTAATTCACGCCTAGCTCCAACTTACAGTATTTTGATCCAAGCGAAATTCACCTCCGCGGAAACAGCTGACAGTACACGTGGTATGCGACAAAAGGTAAACAAACCTCGGAGTGATTTCAGGTTTTTCCCGGACGTCCTCCTGCTGAGGTCGCGTCCTGATGATGGCCACCGAGTTACGATTCCCGGCATTACGCTAATGAAGAGAGTGGGTAGAAATCATTTTACTTTTAGCGACGCGAGCTTGTAGTTTCTCTCGGAAGTTTTATTTGTTTATGATGCAGCTAAGCTATTGTTGTATGATCGTACAAAGGAGAGGTAATTGTTGGCTTAAGTTTGCGGCCATTGTCTTCTCCCTCTTCCCTTTCTTTTTACGCTTTCTTGCTTTCTTTTGGCTTTTCTCGACCTTTCTCTTTCTCTTTTTTCCTCTTTGTCTGTGCGTTTGTTTTCTGAAGGGAAGAGAAATTCTTCCCCCTCCATCTCTTATTTCCTCTCGCGTCTCTCTCTCTCTCTCTCTCTCTCTCTCTCTCTCTCTCTCTCTTCTCTCTCTCTCTCTCTCTCTCTCTCTCTCTCTCTCTCTCTCTCTCTCTCTCTCTCTCTCTCTCTCTCTCTCTCTCTCTTCTCTCTTCTCTCTCTCTCTCTCTTCTCTCTCTCTCTCTCTTCTCTCTCTCTCTCTCTCTCTCTCTCTCTCTCTCTCTCTCTCTCTCTCTCTCTCTCTCTCTCTCCTCTCTCTCTCTCTCTCCTCCCTCTCCCTCCCTCCCTCCCTCCCTCCCTCACTCCCTCTCCCTCTCCCTCTCCCCTCCCTCCCCTCTTCCCTCTCCCTTTTC